TTAACACACTTTATAGATAGAAGGCAGCTATTCAACAGCGCCCACCGCTAACTCATGGACTTCTCTCATCTTATAGCGAGCCTACAGCCCCAGACGCACTCCAGCACGCTAAGCACCAGACATAGCCCAGTCCTAGAATGATAAAATCCGGTAAGTTTACGGACTTACAACACTAAAATCCAGGGTTTGGTTCTCAATTTCACTTTGCTTTGAAAGAAACCCTTGAAAGAGAGAACCTTTTTTCAATCAAATGCACTCAGATACAAAACAGAGAGGTGAAGAAGCTGATCAGCCCCTAGATATTTTTATTACATGTGTATATATTTAATAAGTAGGCACCTCTTTCTTCCCACTCTCGTGTATATAATCAATTGTTATATTATCTGGTCAGTTGACGTATGTAACATCAAGTATTGGAAATATAGCACTTAAATCAACTCGAAAATTTGCTTTCTTCGTCAATTTTGTAAGCTCAATAAAAAAAAAATTATCATAGATGGAATGTATGCACCGAATGTCTTTCGTGTTACATCTGTGACACATCAAAAATTAGCTCTGTTCTTTAAACTATTTGTAACTAGAAAACATATAAGTCTCGATTCAAGAGCATTACCCTAAACTTGTTTTTATACCTTATTTTTGTTTGTTGTTAAGCGCAAAGCTGCACAACGGGCTATCTGTGCTGTGCCCACGGCAGGTATCGAAACCATTATTTTAGAGGTGTAAGCCTTATAAACTTACCGCTCAGTCGCCGAGGGGCTTTTACAGAGGATTGGTGCGTTATATTAGAATAATTCAAAGTCTCACCACGATGTTACAGTCCATGTCGCTACGTCCGGTCATACTCTATCTATCTGATGATTGCAGATCTCGAAAACAGCCCTGCAGCGTAGCTTCTATTGCAATAGGCTCTGTCACTAGGCCGCTAAGCCCAAAGCGCACCCTTCTTTCCTGCAGGCTTTCCATAATGCATCTAATGGATGACGGTTCTCATCACCTGTTTTAACAGTCTAATCGCTAGGCACTGTACCCGACGGCTTTAGCAGTGTGTCTGCTTATGAAATACCCTCTTTATTCTTCAGCTGCTTAATATATATGACAGTTGAACTGATATGTCGTGGAAGCAATTTACGTAAACACATCTTGTATCGCTTTTCCAGACGGAGATCCTCTTTGATTATATTGCGTATTGTTGCCTAGAGCACCACATGGACGGCTTTGGCCACTGACGTTTGTGTTTGTGGATTCTATTCTGTTACAAGACGCTGAATTTCGTTTACCATAGCTAGAGTACGACTTGTTGCAAGTCTCTTTCTAAACGATTCTGGTGCCCCATGTTGATCCACTTTCCTTTGTTTCTCAATGCTATTAACTGCAAAGGATAACCCATCTTGGAAATATTACATACCCGATCTAAACACATCTTTATGATCTGAATGTATGAATATTTTGCATCAGAATTGGCTGTTACATACCCTTCCTATAAGCGATCAATTTTCAGTGGCACTGCACAACCTATGTAACTTGATCAGTGTGAAAATGTAGTTCTCATACAATCTGTTCCACCTCGACTTTATATCGGCTGTGATGTCCCGTTAACTTGCATATTCCAACGTAATATAACGTACTCAACTCTCTGTATACAGTTGCGCTGCTGATGGAGTCCAAATATTAAGGAATTTCATGTTGCTTGCAGTTATAACACTAGTGTCGAATTGACCAAACAAATAACACCAATGTCAAACTGACCAAACCAATTTTGCAGCAGAAATTAGTGAAATAAACTGTAATATCGATTGATTGTTTTACAAATTTCGCGCAACCTACACGTGGGTCACCTGCACACAGCCGTCTCTAATTTTTACCTGATAGACTTGAAGGAAGGCAGATAGTTAACTGCACCAATAACCAGCCAGATAGTCAACTGCACCAACCACTAGCTCTTGTGCTACTCTTATCAGGCCGAACACGGGATTTGGCCGTCACACATCTACGGCTCCAAAGTGCGTAACGCTTCTTTTGGTGACAAACGGAGTGCGAACCACAAACCCTCGGATTCAGAACCCGACTATAGCCACTAGGCCATGCGACACCTATTTTATTAGACAACCTGTAAGTAACAAAGTTATGCAATTAAAAAATGGGGTCATTATCCCATTTGTCACTCATAGGTTAACTCGTGGAAAGATCTTTTGAAATCCACGATTAAAAATAGCCATTAAAGCTCCATGATAGTTTCCTTAATCTCGTTTCCGGTTCTTTCACAATGCGTTTTACACGTTTTCTGCTACTGTCCTTCAATCATTAGGTTTTCAAAAAATATGCTCGTGTGCACGTGCCCTTCTATCGACCATTAGTACAAGCTGAAGCCATGTTTGATCATATAACAATATACTCTAACAATCAATTTACGAGCAATGTTTTTGAAACTGTATTCTTTAAATAGACACACAGTCTCTCTAGACGATACATTCATTTGTACATACAGTACAGATGGAAAACAAAACCTTAACCTAGACATTACATTATTCTCTACATCAAACTGGAATCTCTTGATGTCACGTTGAAACTAGAAATGTAAAGAATGAATGTATGTATGAAGAAAGACTTCAGAGATCCTTACCTTCCTCGTTCATCCTTTCCGATTCTTCGACGTGTGATAACATCCGAGATGTCCAGGTAACGTCTGGGTTTATGTGTAACTGGTGCCCTCTATCGTGAAACTTCGAACACAACTCTGACGTGATTCAAAGAAACTCATCTGGAGGAATTTGAGTGAACTCAGCTTGAGATATTACACTATGTCACAAAAAGGACAGATCTGCTGGTCAGTTTTAGCACTAACTTATCTATCGAGGAAAAAAGCTTGGATAATAACTTGTTCTGTCATAGTCAGAAAGCTCGTAAGGAAAAGGAACGTCTCCTGCTGAGCAGCATTTCATAGCTAAATTCATTCCAACCGAGATACCACAATGGATGATAGACCATGACGTAATTTCCATGACGTGATTATTGTGTAGTGACGCAGAACCATGACGTCTCACTTAGGCGTATATTGGGTTTTGTTTTTGTTTATTCTTAAGCGAAATGCTACACAATAAGCTATCTGTGCTGTGCCCACCGTGGGTATCGAAACTCAATTTTTAGCGTGATAGGCTCTCAGACTTACCGCTGGGCCATCGGGGCCTCTTATATTTGGGGAATATTTATTATTTATTTGTTGAGTTTTCGCACAAATCTGCCTGAGGGCTATCTACGTTAACCGTCACTAATTTTGAAGTCATAGATTAGAGAGAAGCCAGCTAGCTAGTCAACACCACCCATCGGCAACTCTTTTCCCAACGGATAATGGAATTATCTTACCATTATAACTCTGGAAAGCAGAGCTTGTACGGTGACATGATTCGGTCCCGCAGTCCTCAGATGCGAGTTGAGCACCTAATCACTACACTGGGAGATAATTTCAGTTTGTTTGTTTTTTACAATTCATCGCAAACCTTAAAAAGCATATTTATTGAAACAGTATACCTTAGATATTTTGTTGAAACAGTATACCTTAGATATTTTGTTGAAACAGTATACCTTAAATGTTTGTTGAAACAGTATACCTTAGACGTATGTTGAAACAGTATACCTTAGATGTTTTGTTGAAACAGTATACCTTGTGTGTTTTGTTGAAGCAGTATACCTTAGACGTTTTGTTGAAACAGTATACCTTAGATGTTTTGTTGAAACCGTATACCTTATATGTTTTGTTGAAACAGTATACCTTAGATATTTTGTTGAAACAGTATACCTTAGACGTTTTGTTGAAACAGTATACCTTAGATGTTTTGTTGAAACAGTATACCTTAGATGTTTGTTGAAACAGTATACCTTAGATGTTTTGTTGAAACAGTATACCTTAGATGTTTTGTTGAAACAGTATACCTTAGATGTTTTGTTGAAACAGTATACCTTAGATGTTTGTTGAAACAGTATACCTTAGATGTTTTGTTGAAACAGTATACCTTGTGTGTTTTGTTGAAACAGTATACCTTAGATGTTTGTTGAAACAGTATACCTTAGATGTTTTATTGAAACCGTATACCTTAGAT